TTCATTATAAAAACCACCTACATATTAATATGTCTATGATAAAAACCCTTTGGCTATCGTGGTAGAAATACTAGGTTTCCAAATTCTTGCTGTTATAAACATGCCATTATAAAATCTAAAATATCATTATTTTGTGTGATTATTATTGTTAAATGCTTTTTTTATACAATTTATTATACTTTCCGAACAGTCCCAGTTAGAAATGATTTATATATGCGTGGAAGCATGTAAGAAATTTATATTTTGATTAGTACTTAAGACTTAAAGTACCGACTAGATAATAAGGTGGAGTGGGGTAAATGTAAAAATGGGGCAAATGTGATATTACATGGTAAAATTTAAAAAAAACATTAAAATTGCTTTCTTTAGTACCAAACTGACAAAACTTACATCCCTGATCTACTTGAGCCGGTTAGAGCTAGTATATTTTTCCACTGAAGTTTGACGGCTACAATTTATGTTATATTTTTAATTTTTTATGTTTTTGTAGAATAACTTTCTTATTTTTTGTATTAATTAAATGATTCAAAAAGCAAAATTTACAGAAAAATTGTGATTTTTACATTTACCCCACAAGATACCTCCATTGGAATCCTATAGTAAGGAACGGTCCATTATCACATTTGCCCCAAAATCTCGGGCAAATGTGATACATTGACATAAAAAAAAAATAATAATTTTCAGGTAGCCCCTGTATCGATTTATTGTTTAGGTTATAGATATCGTTTGGTGAAGGACCAAGGATTATTCAGGAATTTTTACACAATATTTGCAATAAAAATCAAATTTTAATAGATCATTAAAGTTACACTAGTCAAATTTTACATCACAATTACCCCACCTCACCTTACTAGAAAAAATATAATATGATTTTGAATGGCATATTGTTTGTAAGAAACAAGCAGTGGTTTAATAATAAAAGTCGTTTGGGTTTACCCTAATAGTCAATTTATATTCTTTCAGCATTTGTATGGTGGCGCCATACGTTTTTAATGTATTTAATACAGTTATCAAAATATTTACAAGGAAATAATTTAAAAAATTATTAAAATTATGAAAGGAAAAACATTGAATACCAAATTAGCTATTTACAAGTCAAAATAGGTGTTATGACAAAATAAACATGTTTAGAGTTTTAATTGTGATTCTTAGAAATAAATAATGTACCTATGTGTGTATGTAAGAGAAACATCTGTTTTTAATGGAATATAAAAATTAATGTGTATAAATGGTACACGTAAGTTAAAAAAAGGAACAATGCGTTTGCATTAAAAACAGTTTCTATTAAGTTGTCAGTTTACATGTAAATTCGGGATACTCGCAACTTGAATATCATCCGAAAACTTTCGACATAATGTTTGCAAACAATTCCATTGAAAGTCAAACTGAATGAAAAGGCAGAATAATCCAAATGAGCTTAAATGTAAACACCTGGTCTAAATGGAAAATAAAAAGCCGACCACCACCTCTGCCACGGCCACACACACTTTCAGGTATGAAATCTTTATTACACACAATGCCCATCTTTATGTCGTCTCGTAAGAGATATTTCTTCGATATTTTTCTAATGGACCATTATTAGACGTTGAGAATGTTGTCAAACGCTTGACAGTCACTGAATTGTCCTCACTGATCAATGCCTCTTTATAATTTACGGGCGAAGGGTAACCATTCAGAAAAAATGTAATTTTTATGCGGAACTGGCTATTAATTTATGTTATGACTTGGGGTCTCATCAGGAATTTTTATTTCTATTTTAAGATCTATTATTACCTATACGAAGGTTTACCTTCTGTACCACCATAGAGGATCATTAAAATTGTTTGAATAGCAGGGGAGGCCATTCTAAAGAACTGTAGGTAAATTTCATTAGTTTTGCTCATTATATTAACTTCTCTGTTTTTGTATGTTTATTTACATTTATACAGAGTGTTTCACAACTTATCCCAAAAATTTTAACCACGTGGTATAATATGCATTAAGCATATTAAAAAGTCCCTATTTTATAAACAACATAATATTGAAACAATTCAAATATGGCATCTAAAGTTGATGTATTTTTGGCCATTTTTATAAAAAAAATTAAACTTTATCATAAATTTGTTATTACTAATAAAATCGTTATAAAAATAAGTGTCAGATAATACATACATTAACCTCAGCTGCCTTATTTAAATTGTTTTCATATCAAATTGCTATTAGCAATCAATACCAAAAAAAAATTAAACTTTATCATAAATTTGTTATTACTAATAAAATCGTTATAAAAATAAGTGTCAGAAAATACATACATTAACCTCAGCTGCCTTATTTAAATTGTTTTCATATCGTATTGCTATTAGCAATCAATACCATATATACAGTGTGATCCATTTGTTCGCGACTAACCCCTGTAAAATCTTTATTTATTATGCGATTTTAACCGGATTTGTTGTAAAGTGTAGATCTTGATAAACTGTACCATATGTTTACAAAATACAAGGCCTAGGATGTCACCATCCCTCAAAACGACGATATACTAAATTGTATTGAAAATTTTTAAATATACTTAAAAATTCTTAAAGGAACGATTTTGTTGCGAAATTAAAAATTAACTATTTACAAAAAATTATTCTCTTAAGTTATCCATGAAAAAAGATTAAACTAATAGTAACATGGTATAAATATTCCTCTACTTAGTTTAAACAAATAAATAACGTAATAGAAACAACAATGAAACAAAAAATAGAGAATTCAAAAAAATCTGTACAATTAGATTTTCGCCAACTCTACTGCACAATATCTATTTTAGGCCATTTGTTTAAAAAACTTCAAACTTTATTATAAATTGTTATTATTAACAAATTTTAACTTTCTATTTTTAAATCGTCATAAGAAAAAAACTGTTAGAAAATTGTATATTAAGCTCAGCTGTTTCCATAGCAAACAATATTGGATAAATGATATAATGGGGAATACTGCAGTAGGTATATTTTTTTAATGTTTCACATTGCGTCATCATTTTAAGATCTCAAAAACCTGTTTTTCGTATATACGTAGGGCATACATCCCACATGCAAAGAAAACATTAAATTGTACTGTCTGTCCTTGGTTTACATATTGACCAATGTGACATTTAATAAAATAGACTTTATAGTTTACAGTGTATATAACCTTTTCAGAATACAATAATGTTATTTTTGTTTCTTATAGGAAGTGGTTAAATGTGGGTAACACCAAGAATAATATTTTAAACAATCTACTTCTTAAAAAAGTTTTTCCTTTTTGATGGTATATTTTCTTTTCAACTAAACTTACCACATTATTAGTGTTAAAGGTACAAACATTTCCTTTCTAATACCAAAATGACTTTTGACATTGAAATATAAAAATTCAATAGTAAAATATCAAAGTATATTAATTACAAAAAATCTTTAAAACATAAACTAAAGCATTTTTTCTACTTCCACACATGTTTCCATGATACTAAGTGAACTTTTAAATACACATTGACAAGTTGTAGCTTTAGGGCGTTTTATTCACGGACTGAAGTTAGTTTTAAGTTAATTGACAAATATCAAATGTCATACAATCGTTCAAATAAAGTAAAATATTACTAAAATTGAATGTAAAAATTATTTTATTATATCAATACAAAAGTATTAAATAGTTTTCCAACGCCAATATTTGAAAAGTAAACTAGACTTAACTTATTTTCGGGTTTAGTGCCCGTAAAACATTGTCTTTACTTTCACATTTCGATACATTTCGATTTTCACATAACAATTTTCACCGGCGTTGGGTAATACAGATTTCCATTTACCATTTCTAGATGTCGCTTGATACAAATATTCAATTTAAATCATTTTAAGATAATAATAAATATAGCATGCAACTCGTTTATAAACATTTCTAGACACTCAGTTAATTGTCTAAAATGGCTTGTCAAACTTGATACATAATATACTATTTTATTAATTTTAAAATTATTATAAATCCCCTTTTAGTGAAAGCTTTTGTTTACGAAATACTTTTTAAATTTTGAAGTAGTCCATAAAGGATTGAGGCATGATGATAAAACAAAATGGCGAAGCATTACCATAAAATCAAATGTAACGCGTTCTCTGAAAAGTAATAGCAATACGTTTCGATTGTTATGAAGATTTCAGAAAGCAGGATGTGGATGCACCTTGATAGGGGAGCTTTAAAGGAGTAAAATATTGCAAATAATACTAACATCACGTTTGGCGCGCGACTATTCCCCTTTGACGACGTATAGAAGTAAAGCATACATCTTCAATGGTTATTACTTTTCATATTCTACCTTCTTTTCCAGGTGCTTCGGTAGCATTGAGATAAGTAAGCAGGAATATTTAAACTTTCAAATGTATAATGTAAAAATCTATTTTAGTTTTTGGAATTTTAAGGAATCAGTTTAGAAATAAAGGAAACGAAGCTGTAACAGTGTAATGCCGTAATGCTGTGTGTTCCATTTCCACAATCCCGCAGGTGCCATATTCCAACAACGCAATCTTACGAAATGAAAATTTCTTCGAGATGTGCACTTCCCCAAAATAAATTGCATTTTACATTACCCTTAAAACCACTCGTTTACCTTTATTTATTCCCGACCTACCCTCGACTGCAACTACTTTTAACTACGCCAATTATTACTCAAAACTTAAACAAATAAACTTACGTACCACATTTCACTAAATTTATTTTACTAAATAAATATATATAGAGCACTATACTACATATACGGAGTTAATATAATACCGGGTGAGTCTTTTAACTTTAAATTGAGGGGGGAATAAATAGGTACCAAAATTATTCCCCATACTCTCATCCTTAATAGGGAGGAAATGGGGGTAACTTTAAAATTTACAATGGAACACCCTATTTTTTATTATAATTTTCTTATAATTCGTATAGTTCTCTATTTACAACATAAAAATAAATAACATTATATTTATATTTTTTTTATTTACATATATACATACATATCGGATAAATTTTATTTAGTTTGCATTTTCACAAGCATCTATCCAATCATTGTAAACATCCAAAGGTTCAGACAGCATATTGATAGAGGCCTGATAGTCCTCCATACAGATCCTGCAGGATGTTTTTGCAGCATTTCGTCCTTTGTCCATTTTAACTTCGCAGGACTTCTCGTGATTGCAGAAGGGACAATCAAAGCAAATGTCCAGGGCCTCGATATTCTTTCTTCTTTGTGGTGGTTTTCTGCTTGACTTCCTTCTACCCATTATAGAAAAAAATTATTTTGTGATATGTATTTGTTGAAATCTTGTTGGTAATGATTTATTTTAGTTTGTTTGTGTATTTAAATAAATGTAAAATTGTATGCAGGTAAAAGTGCATTTTGGTATATTTTTAAGGTAGCTGATTTAATAAATTATAAAGGGATTAATATATGATAAACATTCTGTTTTATTTACCTACAGGGTGAGTTTTAAGTAAATAAGATTTCTCAATAAACACGTACAAAAAAATAATTTTAACAATGCAAAATGCCATCGTTGTCAATAGTCTCATTCTTTACTTAATTATTATTATACATGGCTCATAATTATAACAATAATAAACTACTATACATGTTATTCTACTACTAACTGGATTCATCCTTACCACGTTCAAAAGGTTCAAAGTTTGAAGCTAGAGAGTTTTCCACGCAGAGTACAATTGGCTTTTAGAGCAAAATGCAAACAATAATACCTTTTCAAGAAAGATTTTGGTTATGGATGAAACCAAGTTTACCCGAAAAGAAATTAATAATTAAGAGAATACTAGAGCTTTTCGAAGAACTATTAGTGGCTGCTTTTTCGCTATGACAATTATTCATTTTTGACTTATTCTTTTTAAGAGAGTACGGAGTTAATATATGTAATATACATATAAATTTATATATCATTTATATTTAAGTTTATAATTTTTATATGTAAATGTATAATAAGAAACTTACCTGCCACAAATCTCTAATATAACTACAAATATAAATTGATCAGATTATTTTTAATTTAAAGTATCATCGATTCAAGTGAGGGAAAAAAATACCGTTTTCATAAAAAAACTCTGGATGAATCGTTTAGGGCTCAAAAGCCTAACCCAACCCAACCCAACTCAATTTTTGTATTGTTTTGGATTTTCTTGAAAGCGGTAAGTTTAATAAAAGCATGAACAATTTAAAAAGTAGGTAGAACTAAAGTACCAAAAGAAGCAGTGTAATTAAGAAAATTGTATCTTGAAAGAAAACTACAATTGATACTAATTTTTTTTCCTAAGAAGTTAATTCGTGCGGAATTTCGAGAACTGTATTAACAAAGCTTATAAATATGTATGTGCTAAAACTCTATCGTGGGAAAAAATGTTGATAATAATTTAAAAAAAAAATCCACAAGAATTCCAATACAAAGTTTAGTTTTAAATCTAGTCTAAAGACAAAATGAGAAAATGAAAATCTTTTTATACAGTTTTGAAATAGTATTGGGGTGTATTTTGGACATGTTATGCTGGACATTTTATAGGTCTTAAAAATGTTTACTAGATGTGTTAATATGGTTTTGGGATTTTATAAAGTTCTATGACATTATATAGTTTGTCTATTAAATACAGAAAAACTAACTTTAGCCGTTTGGCTTTGAAGCAAAATCTTTTATAAAATATATCTGAAAACTTTTTATTGGATTATTGGGGGAATTTTTAATAAAGATAAAAATTAACACAAAAAGATTTTGTAATTAGTTCATATTCCAAATTTAATTTTTTCTTCGTTGACTCCTTGTCATCCTAAGGCTGCGTTCCGCATTATAATTTTAAAGTGTGCCTTTTTGGAATGGAGCAATTTTAAAAGAAGTTTAGTTAAAATGTTTTTTTATTACTAAAATGATTTTTTTGTTTGAAAATATATTTTAGTAGTTTTGATATTTTTTTATTATTCAGCACATTTTCCACGTTGTTGATGGTGCTAAGGCTTTAATTTTTGCGTTTAAGCAATTTTGTCAAAATCAATAGTCTCTTCGGGAAGGTAATTACATTTTAGGGTTTCTTATTTAACAAAATATTGTTAGTATAAAAAACAAAAATCTAAATGGGGCAATTTTATAAGATTTTAACCAAAAATGTCTGGGATCATAACAACAGGCATTTATTAAAAATAATTTTCTTATTTATCCCTGTACTGCGCCCTTATTCGGTGTCACTCTCTGGAGAGCCGTCATTGCTGAAACAGCCTGTTATGTCGGAAATGCTTAGAACACCGACATGAGACAGTCGGTCGGCTTGCGCCGCTGAGAATTCCTGTCCGGACTTGTCTTACGCAAGCCCCCACCGGAACAACACTTAATTCCATGAAATTAACAATCAACACAAACGTATACCCGGTATTATGTTGCAGGTAATGACATGTGTCGCTGATAATTCATCCCACCAGCGACTAGACGCAAATGTTTCCTATCAGAAACAGTGAAATGAAATTATCACGGGAATATACAAAGACAAGATATGCCCTAGCCTGGCTGGCATTTGGAAAATAATTTAGAATATGAATAAGCATTATTTTTTTTTTAGGAAGACGGTGACTATAAATTTATTTTTTAATGGCAAACAATTGTTATGTTAAAAATCACTTTTAAACCTTTACTGAAAGCCAAAAAATGTGTTTTAAGCATGAAAATAGGTATACGAGGGTTACCTTTAAAATCAAAGTGGTATTTCCCCCTAGCTTATAAAAGTATTTTCCATGGAATGTTGCCCTCGATTTTCACTAAAGTTTGCTGCATAGTAGACAGCTCTAGAGCTGTTTCTTAGTAATTTTTGCTACAACCTGGTTAGGAATTAAAATAATTTGGTGCAGGAATTGTTGACAGTATTTTTATTACACAATCGTTCTTATTAGATATGAATTATTCAATGTAACCTTCAGCTAAACTGTTAGATTTCTACCCACCATGGCGTTTAGGCAGATGACGTCGCGACGGCCCCTCTATCTACAAGAAGTGTTGATGTTCTTCTTAAGCAATATATTCCTTCCGGATTTTTTATTTCAAAAATTGAGCCACATCTTTAGGCACACGACCTATTGTATGGACTCCCGTAACATAACGCTGACATTTTGCATTTTGATATTTAAAAAAAGAGCTTCGTTTAATAAAATATTTTGGGCGCAAAGAAACATATTTTCTATTTCGTGAGCCTCTTTTGATCACTTATGTTTGGGTTCTATGTCAGACTTTAATATAAAATAGAGATCCTAAGTCTTCTATATCGTCCATCTTCATGTTTACCATTTCGTCACATCTAAATGCCCCAGGTATGCCAACCAAATTTTGCCAAATGGCAGCAGCAGGATCGCTCATTCCGGAAATATAAAAGGCAACCCTCGTATAGTAGCAAAGAATTACACAAAAATCATAAAACTTATGTAAAATGTAGCTACTTTACATTTCTGCTACAATCGCCCACTCTTATCCTAAATAAAAATTAAAACGAATTTACATCTTAAAAAACGTATATTTAACTTTTATTTTGTTATCATTAAACCCTGCGCGCCTAACAAAAACTACATTTTCTGTCTAAAATTACTATGAAGAAGCAAACATTTTCTAATATTGTTATTTTAACACATAACTACTATAGTGGGCTCCGATATGACCCCGACATTTCATTTTTTACTGCTTCATCACATGTATTTATTTTTAAATTATCATTATTATTATTATTATTATTGACCGATAGTAGTTATGTTAGTTGAAATGGGTGATGGTTTTTACGAGTTAAGGATGTTTCATAAAAGTATCAAAACAATGCCATATAATATTTCAATAGGATCATCAAAATGGTATCCTTATTGAACATGACATTTCACAACCACCCTCGTTAGGCCGTCAATAGTAATAAAGACCGAATTCATAACAGTGTTTTCTTTATTTAATCCTTAAACAAGCATTTGTTGGTTCCCAAGGGGTGAAATCACAGCTCCCAGGTCATATAATTGCCAAATAAGCGTCCTAAATCGCAAACAATATAGTTGCAATATTGCAGATGGAAATTTTTTGTTTGTAATTGGCGTTTTATGAAACCAAGATATAAAAGTAATTTGTATAAATTAAATAGGTATATTTTGTCTTTTACTGTTTCAAATGCAATAGTCGGGTTTTGCATCTAATCGCCTCTTTGTCAATCCTAAAACATCATCTCCATTGAAACCCCTTTACAAATAAAACGTTAAATAGGAATAATATACGTTATTAGTTTCCATTGATAACCCTAATGATAATTGGCCTTAAGGATTATAAAACTAAGTAACCCTTCTCAAGGGTATGTTTTAAAATGAGCGGTTCATTAAAACTTATTATGGATGTTTAGCATTAAAAAATACGTGTAATGTTTCCTTTTGGTCTGTTCAGACAGCAGCGATTACTATTAAGGGGTGGAAAGGTAATTCTCTTTCCTTTTAGAGGGGAAAGTCAATCAAGGCTGTAAGGTTACAGCATGATGAGCCCGAAGGGGTGGGTGCACGAACGAGGCATTATTTTGTCAAGGAGACGAACAAGTCCCGTAATGGACTAATTAAAGCAAACGTCAGCTTCATTAAATTAGTCGCTTTAGGGTGAATGGCTGGACCACGTCACATTGTCTTCTTGTTTATGCCTAAAACATATATCTCACTTTAAGGAACGTTTTAATTAGATCAATGGCAAAAAAAATTAATTATGGCTTTAGGACAAAAACGGTTCCGAAGGAAGTAAGGAGCTTGTGGTGTGTATGTATTAGAATTAAACACAAATAGCATAGTGTTCTTGGGCAATCCTTTGGGGATCCATTTATCTTAAATACACATTATTAATATGAAACTCTACTTATGATAATTGCTTAGCTACTAAAACTATATGATGTAGAAAAAAGCTTGTAATTTGTCTCATATTATTAGGCCTAGAAGGTGGTGGTAATATAGAACCCCAATTCTCAGTATTGAAAAAAGTTTTTTTATTATCATTAATATTATCTATTATCATAAACGAGATAAAACTTTACACATTAATATATCAGTACCTCACAGTTTTCTTTCCAAAAATATTATGTTGGCGTACTTCACTTTATTTCGTAATTAATATTAAACCTTTAATTTGTTCTCTATTTACAAAATAAAAATAAATAAAATTAGATTTATATTTTTTATTTACATATATACATATATATTTCAGTTAGTTTGCATTTTCACAAGCATCTATCCAATCATTGTAAACAT